CTTTATTATAATGCCTTCTGTACAAAATAATGTAGAATGTTGAGGATATGATAAAAACAGTTACAGTGTCTGAAACAGGAAACTGCTACAGTTTAAGAAATTTAGCTTCATGCGTAAATGCTATTTAATCTCATCATGTAGTTTAAGAAATCTATTCACATGTAATCATTTACTACTGAAATTAAAACAGTAGCACCGATGTTTACACTGAAATAATTGCAGTTCATATATGTGTTAAACTTCGGGCTCTGGGGTAGTATGTAGTTCCAACGAAATGAAAGTATGTATAATAGGAATGATTCAACACCTGCTCACTAGGACACCTGGAAAATTCTACTACCCTTGCGACGAATAGGAAAGAATAAATAAAACTGTAAAGAGAAAGTTCGAAGTTTGTGGTTATAAGCTATATAATTATAAATGAAAATTGTGTTCGAAAGGTCATCTGTTAGATAGTACTGTTTCACTGTGTGACATATGTAATAAACAAATTAATATGAAGGTAACTACAGTTCACCCTTCCAACCATTTAAGTAAACAGTTCATGCTATGGACAAGAAATATTTCTGCGTTCGGTTGGTTTTTATTATATCAATAGACAACCCTTTCGAAGTGACATATGAGGCAAGGTGAAGCCGTTAAAACCGTCTCTGCTTACAAATGAAACTTTGCTGTATACAAGGAAACTGTAATCGATTCTAAAGTATTTTACTCAATTCTTTTTAATACCACGTCTTTTTTAGAGTTGCTGTACAACAATTCTGTTTGTAATCTGTATTCACTTCGTTTTTAAACTCTAAATTTTAAGAAGGAACTTTGTATATATCCGGAAACTCTTGGTTTTTTGCAAATGTTTACATTTTTCAAAATGCCTACACTTTTAATAACCACTTCTGAATACTATTACCATTTATTGGTTAAGATTACGCAACACCACTGTTTAATGAAGTTCTTCATTTACAAATATATTGTAGTAGGGAAAGTGGTGTGTTACTTAGTCACTTGTCACTACATTAGTTGATAGACATTTAAACTCATGCAATAAATGGTCTAAATCTATATTGTTTGACCCTCAAATCACCCTCTATTCTCAACTCTCCCTTGTACATCATCTGGTGAACCAGAGTCAGTACAAAAGATTATATGCTCGTAATACAAGTATGGAAACTCACGATACCATATTTGGCCCGTGTTTGTTCGACAGAGACATGTAAAGCGTCAAACCTATGAACTCTATGTTGTCAGCAAAATAATTGGCTTTTTATCATTTCCTATTTGTAATCTATGATGACACTATCTCAATTAACTTACAATCTTAGCTATCAACGTTATCATCATTATTTAACAATTTTTTGTATAGAAAAAATCCCCATTTAGACATTTAGAAAACAGGAAGATTGAGCGAAGAAATATTTATTTTCAATTAGATCCTCATATATGGCTCTACTCTAATATATATAGCATTTTATTACAATACACAACAATTTGTCAATCAAGTGGCGATATGTTTGTTAACAATAATTAGTCGGTGTCAAAACGTCAATGGGGTGATAATTAACGAAGAAAATTAATATACACAATTAAAAGGTGGACATGGTTAAAACAAGTCGATTGCATAATACATAATTTTGGAAGAATGAAGAGCAATTAAGGAATAAGCGTGTGCACAGGTTGATTGCGTAAAAGATTGTTAAAGAAAATAAAACAATTTGGACAATGATAATTTGTAACTAAAGTTGAAGTGGTCATAAGAATAAAATAATTTTTACAAGGATAACACGTAATTAGAGATGAAGTAGTCAGAAAAATAAAATAATTTGGACAATTATAGTTTTTTAAAAAGAAAAAATATTTTTAGGGTAGGGGGATGAAGTAATCCGGTTTACACAATCATGTAACGATGGTCAAGGTAAGGAAAGTGGCTGTACAAATTTCTTCTGAACACACAAGTCTGGCTTCTTCAGGTGGATTCCCATTGCTTCAGCTATATGTAGAAGACGAATTCGTAAAGCAAAATTAAGATTAGTAGGAATGCGATAAATAATTTTAAATGCTGTATTAACGTCAACCTTATGCTCACTATCTACAGGGTGTGCTAAAATAGAACTACGAACAGATCTTGTTTGTCCCTTGCTTAACCATGTTGGATGATGTTCGGAAATACGACAATGAACTTGACTAATTGTTCGCCCAATGTTGCTGACTCCGCAGCTGCAGTCAAACTGCTAGATACTCAGAGAAGAGGCAAATTTAGGTAGTTTATCCTTATTTCTCGAACGTAGAATAGGGGTGATTGTGAAGAGACAATGTACCTCCGGTGCATAATAAGCTCTTTTAACTGCATTCTTCAGGTGCTGTGTTATTATAATATATATATATATATATATATATATATATATATATATATTAGAGTAGAGCAAGAGATAAGGATCTAACTGAAAAGTAAGTACTTCTTCGCTCAAACTTTCTGTTTTCTAAATTTTTCGTATGTTTATTATCTTCCTGTCACTACTAATACCAAATAAGAACTGCCATTAACAATCCTGTAATATTATATTTACAACTGTTTTTAACATTATTCGATGAAATTAGATACAATATTGTACAAAATGCTGAAAATTCCACACTGTATCATTAGTACTGTTTTGAAAAAAAGCAAATTATTATTCTTTTAGAAATTTTATTATGGTAAACCAAGTCAAATAAGGCTAAATATAATACTGAACGAAGTTAATTTTGATTGTAACTTAAATGTACTGCGAAATGTACAATTAGTAGGAATTTTGAAAAATTGGCATCATTTGAATATACAATTAATGAAAATTAAAGCTTTAAACAGTGTACTACAATTACTGAATGGAGATAAAGTGTGAGTACAATAAGCGAATTGGTTACTGTTAACGTACATTCAAGAGATGAGCAATAATAACAATAATGGTTTGGTGTAAACAGAATTTTGTGATCAAATGAAATTACAGAAGAACGAAAGCACATATCAAGGCTTCTTAATTAATCTTGCAGTAAATTAAAAGAAGAAGAATACAAGAGATAAATTCTGACTGATAGAAGGAACTGCAATTCCCTTCACTGTTGTCAAAATAGAATTGATATTACAGAATGAATAATTCCTGTACTGTATTCAAATTTATATTAATATATATTAGAGTAGAGTCATTTATGAGGATCTAATTGAAAAGTAAATATTTCTGTTATGTACTAGTTTCCCCGTCGCCAAATTGTTATGTACTCGTCGCTAAATTATTGTTATGGACTGGTCGAGAAATTAATAGTCCTGACGCGAGAAGGCGGAAATCAGAAGACCACTAGGTTGCGATGATACTTCTATTGTCCAAACACAAGGAGACGAAAAAAATGGTCTCACACCAAAGTAAGTAAGTAAATCACAAAATTGTGAATGCGAATTATATATAAATGTCAGACAAGCGTGGGAACAAATCATTAGACAGTCTTAACATGAATGGCTAATTATAATGGAGTGTCGATCCAATTATACATAGCGAATATAGCAGACATGCCAACAATTTACATATATTTTGGATATATGTCACCAAGCTACGGACTGTCAACAAACACTCATATTATATATAATATAATATAAGGAGAATACACATTATTAAGGGAGACAAGTCCATACAAGTGAAGTGGTCACAGACTAACCGAGCAAACAGAAAGAGAGACCAACATACACACACACATAAATATATATATGTGGATACATATCAATCACTCAATCTTTATGTCTGTTAAATGTCCGAGTGGAGATTTTTGAGGCACTGCATTTAAATCGTACAATTGTTATTATTTTTATTACAGATAAAATGTTGAGCATTATAACTTTTTTTTAAGTCACCCATTTCGTTGTTTCGGAAATGGTAGATACTTCGCATTATTCATTTGTTTTTGTTTTTCAGGTTTTCGCACATGATCCACAATCTAACATATCCACTGTGACATAGTTCATGCATTTTCAAAGATGACTGCAAAAACAATTACCTTTTAAAATGACTCCAGCTGGAAAGTCACACAGGTTTCAGTGACAGTGAAGACAATTAAGAAGCTGTTTACACAGAAATAAATCTGCCATTTTTATATCTTACTTGACATGCATTTTAACTAATTATATGACAATGTATTTCTCCTCAAAAAATAGTTCTTGTAAAGTTAGGCTAGGTTGTTTTTATGTTCCACGTCTCGATACATCACTGAGGAATTCCCAAATTTCACTAGACCTCGAAATAGCAGAAGAGGCTAACAGATGTCATTTACAGTCATTTCGATTTATTTATATTTATGTTTTATTCCTTTGCGTTCCGAGTACAATACTGCACTACGAGCTTTAGCTTTGGAATTTCTACGGCAGTCGTGTTTTTTTTATTAGGTGGGGTTGCCAGCGTCATACCCAACCTTCCTTTTTTGCCAGGTTTACTACTACCAGCTAAGCAACTTTAGCAATGCATCGTCCGGATATCGTACGCTAGACCATGCATGTGGTTGGCAAGTATTCCATCACCGAACCACTGATGCAGTTGAATTCAAGTCTTCCGATACGTCATAATACCTTATTTTGTAGTATCGACTTGAGAGGCATGTTTTTTAGCAAGGAAGGCAGGTAAATGGAAGTATATTATAATAGAAATACAAGAAGCAATGAGGACTCCCCTTTTGAAAATTAAACAGCCGAACAATTTTCTTTTTTACACTGAAGTGAAAATCTCTGCCTATCCTTATCTACATTTCATGCGTTAATAAACTAGAACAAGAAGAAAAAATAAATAGCACTAAAATGTATTTACACAACACAATGATACAATGATGACCTGAAGAACATACGGAACTCGAATTAAAACAAAAAAATACTACAGTTGGTAAATTTCAGTATTCTTATTACTTGAAACTAAACTTGCTATTTATTTGACATTGCTGTCGATTACGGATGGACAACTTTCCATGTATCGATTGAGCGTAGACTTCCAATAAACCTTTTTGGCTTCTGAAACATTTGGTGAAGACTGAGAAAATGATGCATAGAAATTTCCACTAGGTAAATCTGATAAGTGTGTTCGGAAATACTGATACGGTAACTGAAGTGCTGCACCTAAAAGTTCAAATGATCGAGTAAAGATAAAGCACAACAAGTGACTCTGAAACAATGAAAAGAATACACTACTTCTCACAAACAAAGCAAATGACTTTTAGAAGTACGATTTCTCGATGTCGCATAGGCTTTTTGGTTTGACTCAACATGTTTTTAGTTCGACCTGGAATGCATACCTATGTTAATACTTCCACGCTATTAACTGATGAATATTTTAAATGTCATGTATCGGTATTTGGAGGTAAAGCCAAATATATGTCGCAACGGCTCCCCTAAGAATGATGGTTACTTCAGCTACATACGGCCTTTATCCTTCCATAGATGATACTTTGGCAGTGTATCGTACGATAATAATCGCTAGTGTCTATTATCTTTTAACCAAAATGTAATTATGTAACGCAGATCAGAACAGTAGGGAAAACAAAAGCAATGAATTGGTTATATGGAATTCGAAGCATGTTTCAAGGTCTATTTCGCCAGACGGAGAGGAGTTCCAAGCTAACTGACAAGAGTACACGAATAAACAAACATAGTACAACAGTATCCTATAAAGTGATAATATATAATAACTTTATGAAAACTCAAACCTACATAACCCTTCAAATTACTGAGATGCTAATATATGCGGCCTTCTGTGTGTGATATGTGTATGAAAAAAATACCCAGAGATGTCTAACGAAACGTGTAATCGAAAAGGTAACAAAAAGTTCAGTTAAACCCAATAGTTTTATAAAGCAATTAACAGGACAATTTTGGAGAAATACAATGAAGCTGATTATGCTTTCATGCAACTTAAGTATGCATATGGGTCAGAAAATAACACTTAGAAGAAGCAACTGATCACACAGTCAGTGACTGGAATGACAGGAAAACCAGAATGAATTTCACAAGGAAATGAAATGGGGAATGGAGTTAAAAACAGATAACTTGTTTGTACTAATTTCACTGAAACATTTATGATAGCTGTTTCTTTAGTGATACTACTTGGTGAAAGTCAGTTGGGGTTAACATTCAGCACCGTGCATCATTTTAGCCTCTGTTAAACACTTCGACTGAGCCTTATAACATCTAAACAACAAACCTGTTGTATTATATTATCATTCCTTTGGATCACGAGTGAAACGTAGAATTTCAAAACCACATATCTACATGACTCTGTTTTCTGCAGTCTTTTGCAGCTAGCTACACCAATGTCCACAAGCTTCCATACCCTGCCCTAATGACTTCCTCCGTGTGAATTTTGGACACACGCCGTACTAGTCGATTCCTATTAGGGTTCCACTCGAGGGTTTGTCTGGCGCGTGATGTCACTCAACGGTCACCTCGATGTATATCCAATCCATTCTCATTTTCCTCCGTATATTTGTTGGGTAGTAGGCTCTTAGTTGGTTCGTTGCCAGAGTCCCTCGCCGCTTATCCCTTCGTCCATCTGACCTTTACTATCGAGACAGCTGTTGATGAAAGCACGTAGTCTGTTAGAAATGCTCTTGGTGACGCGTGCGCATCGAGTCTCCAAGCCTTACAAAAGCGTTGACTGACCTGACATTAGTGTTTAAGATCTAGATATTGCCTCTGACTCCGAGTGCAGCAGATTAGCACATTGATTTTAGGACAATGAGGGTCTGTTTTGACTTCCCGATATTGACGTTGAAATTCTCATTTTCGTCGTCTGTAATTGAAATGATGCTATGTCTCCATGAAAAGGTGATTTCCCCCAGATTTCTCCCGGCGAGGGCGATTGGTGCTTGCTACTGTTTGTTAAGTACCTTCATCACCTCTGTCTCCTCTGAGTTCTCCTGAGATCCTGTTTTCGCCGGTTCTCCTACTAAATTAGTGATTTTGTCCTATAGATCCATACTTTTATGTGACATAAGACAAATCATCTATCAAATCCAAATATTTCAGTATCATTCTCGTGGGTCCAGTGTATGCCTTTTCGTTGCTCCCCACAACATGTCAAACAAAACTAGGACACTGATGATAATAAGTCTATGTAAAAGAATGAAACTGAGGGATAAAACCAGCTATTGTCATAAGACGCCACTGATGTCTAAAGACCTACTTAGCTTTTTCTTGGGAACTCAAATAACCCATTTTTAAGTTGGAATAGCCACTGTAAGCGCCATAACGCTAAGCCAAGCAATCGTAAACATTAAGGACTACCCAGCTACTAGAAATTTAATAACACAAAACATTTTATTCACTATGCATGATCAAGTAAAATCATATTGTTAGCCATAGTTATCAAGCCTTTCCCCATAAGAATGTCAAATACATGCCCACTTACTTCTAAAATTGAGCTGCTTTTGGATCAACTGCTGCAGTAAAAATGGGTTAACTATCGAGCGATTAAAAAAGAAAGCACTGTGGGAATGGTATGGCAGCATCATTGATTTAACTGATCGGTGTGGGTATCCCAATCCTAATAACCCTTCAAAAGGTTGGCCTGTTTTGAAATGATAGGAAGAAAAATTTACTTTACACTTAGAAAGGTTTCAAATTATAATACCTGGTAGTTTAGTTTGTTCATTGATGAGTACGTTTTGATATCCTGGCAGGGAACAAGATATGGAAATTTCACTCGAAGGTGTATTGGGAACTTGAGTGTTTGTAGATGCATTTGCTTGGTAAGTAAATAAATTGACAAGGGAAAAAACGTACCTGTTGTGGTTGGTTTGATGTGTAAAGTTTTAAAACTTTCTAAATTATGATTTATGCAAACATTTGCAGAAGCTGCATTAGTCTAACACATAAAGAAGAAGAGAAAACGAACAAACCATGGCCTTAAACCAACGGAGTGCCTAAATCAGAACGTTCATAATACCGTAAGTAAAACCTACATTCTGCCCTAAGGGCCCAGATGCAATAAACTGCCGCTGATATGGGGCGGTTACAGGGTTGCACGTCACATGTTTAGTAATATCACTGACTTCCAACTTCGGCGTTCTGTTTATTGAAACAAAAGAACTTTCGTTTGGGATTGGAACAGCTTCAGCATCTGAGTTTCTAATGTCACTATTAATGAGGTTTGGCTGCGAAATGTTGTGCTGCGCTCCTTCTGAAATATTCACCTTATCGTCTATGAAATCTGAGTGATCGATGTTAAGGTCAGTATTCTGCTTCCCTTTGTCTTGTGATGTGACATTATTAGACTTGGAAATTTGGTCAAAAAAACCCAAAAGTTTGTAGAATGCACTCATATCACCACGCTCACTGGGTTCTGAGGGCCTAGCCTCTAACTTAGCTTCGATTTCTCTCAACGTTTTTATATTAAGTGGGCGTTCTCCTAAAATAAAATGAAATTTATTGGGAACAAACCCTGTTTTCGACCTTCCTTTTTATTATTATTCAGTAGCAGTGACTTCAGGTAATCTTCCAATTCTTTTGCTAAAAACAAACGTATGAATAAAAACCCAGTGATCTACAATGGCGATCAGTATATCCAGGGTCTACCGCAAGGTGACGTGACTCATTTTCTTTCTCATCTGAGCATAAACGACTGAGAATAAAAATGCTATCTTACCCCTAGATAATGCGTTACATTCTTGTAAATCCATATGATCCTCAGCAACAGTGGGGCCATTAACATACCACTCAGGTTTATGCTCAACCCAGTTGGATTCTCGTGAGAAAGATTGGCATTTAGCAGGATAGTTAACCTCCACCATCTGCTCCACTTCGCTGACAATTGACGACTTTCGACAGCTCCTTTGAGCCCTTACAATTCCAGAATCACACAAAACAATAGAATTTGTGGTCCTTCTTATTACATTGCGCAATGTATTATTAAAGTCATTTCCATGAGCTACAACTGTAAAGTCAGCTTGGACATAATACCTTTGCGGCCATCATATCGTCTGGGTATCGCTTCAACTACACCAGATAAAGCTCCAACACACAATTCCCTCTTGATTCTTGCGAATACATCAAAATCAGGTGGCAATATCCGAGACTGAGGGCTATTTCTCAACCTAAGAAGATCTTCCTACAAATATAAATGAAAACTGTGCATTTTGACAACCCTTCTATAAACTCGACGAGTTGTGTGGCTCCTACGAATTTCGACAACAGACTTTACCCCTCTGTCAATCGAAAATATCTGGGTCATAACTAAGTAACCAAAAAACTACAACGGGCGCCTTTGGTAGGTTACTAGTTTCTGATGGGCCGTCATTGAATAGTTTAAACAATTTTGACTTTGCAAAATGTGGATAACGCGGGTTCCAGGTAAATATCAATAGGAAGACTATTTCAATAGAGCTTGCACTGAGGCCTAATTTTTGAAGCGAAGGGTAGGGTTTCGTAGCACCGCAGAGGTTAACATTTGTTGGTTTAATTACTCCCATTGACTACTATGGTTTACCTTCCATTGAGGACAGACAAACTTGATATGACCAAACGAAGGGAGAAAAATAGGAATTAAAGGCGATTTCAGGGTTTATTGGTTATCTGAAATTTGGAAGTGGCTAAGAGTTCTAAGGTGTTTGGATGGCTTTGTGTTTCCATATTAACCGCGTCGGTGGCACAGCGGTCAGGACGCTCGCCGACCATGCTCATGGTCCGGGTTCGATCCACGGCCAACGCACTCCTTTACCTCACTAAGCCAAAAATAATAACACTGGTAAAGAGGAAAGGTTGAGCATGAGGCTACGAACCCTATCCTGTAAAAATAAACACCGCTGCAGAAACTTCAAGTCAGTAGCTTGAGGCCCTATGTTCCACTGGGAACACCAATAAATTACAAGCCATGAAAAAGTTTCTGATAAATTTGCGCTGGGGCAAACTCAGCAAAGCGTCATCTTCCTTTCACGGCTTATTGTATGAAAAGCAGGTTATTCTACTCAGAATTAGGTTAAAGAATGAGATGGTTAAGCTGATTTATTTTCTAAAACGGTCATGTGTTGAAATAACCACGGAGAGTCTGTAAATGTTTCCATTATAAATGGGTAAGAATTTCATGGGCTAGCAGTGGAATATCGCTGTTGATTGAAACGCAGAACAACCAACTTTCTAATCATGCTATTTGACGAAGTGACTAAAATTATATTTAGAACCAAATATCAGTGTCGTCGAATTCATTTTGGATGTCATCATATCTCTTTCCATTCGGACTGTCACTTTTGCGATTTCCAGTGATATCTCTAGTTGATCAGAAGGCAGCATACCCGTAGTCCTATAAGAACGTCCTAAGAAATTCAAAAATAGTGTAAAATACAATTGTGGATAATACATCGTTGAAAGTACACTTACAAAGTATATACAAGAAGGAGGTGGAGAATACTTGAAGTGACAGAATGCATTTGCAATATTCGGCGCTAACCATATAGGTCTAAGCAAGAAAACTATGATGTTTAGATGAAAATATAGCTTTATTAAAATACTGGTGTTGTTGTCTATTTAACACAAGCAGCCAGAATTTAAGGAGGCAACACGTATGAACAAATAGCAAGTTGCTGCTATAATGAAGGCCTAGATAATTAAGATAAAATGGAGTATAATAGCGCGAAAAAAAAAAGATTATCGTGAGATAAGGAAGTGATATTTCAGCTAGAAGTGAATTCAGAGACCTGGAAGATTAGAACCCGTAGGAAAAAGTGTTAGACACACACGTAAACCGTTAATGCCCAGCTCTTGCTACGCTGGGACTCACGCTGTTCCTCGAGGCTTCTCAGAAACGCTTAGTAATAATGGACGCAAAAACCAGAAGCCAGTTTGGTGACTCGAGAATTATTTATTCTAACACCAACATATAGCCAACTTTAAAACTAAGCTTTACAACTAAGGTCTATGAACAAATATTACAATAATAAATCACAATATTACTTCCGACGGTTTTCCCCTGACTTCTTTCTGAACAGCGACCGATGAGACGATGGCTGGCTGATTGATGCCTCCACGAAAATTGGGGAAGTTGGTTTTGAGCAAACAACCATGAATTAACCGTTCAGTCTTCAACTTCACTGACACACTCTGACCGGTAAAATATCATTTGAATTTTTGTGGGGCCTATCTTGTTGCATATTGGGAAGAAGTTGAACACGCCTGTAGAGAGTAGGGGCAAAAGCACTTCATTATGTTTTAGATCTGTAAAACACTTATTTTTCTTTCTTTTTTGAGAATCCAGACTGTTTGATTATCGTGCTGTTAAAAAAAATACATGCTGCTTTACCACATATAGGGGCGATTCATATTTGCGAGCACCACTATATATGCTGATCAGCATGCGCCACTGTCCCTCCTTTTCTGATGTTAACCTCTGAAATTTTTTGCAATAAGTGAATTTGCGGTATTGTATTTCTTTGATCCCATCCCAGTCATACAGTATCTTGGACATTAATAGCCCTAATGACAAGTTCTTCCCATCAAGCCACCAGATACATGGATACATGGGGACATTATAAGCAGGATTACCTTTATACATGCATACATGTATGCAAGTGTTTGTTACAAAGGCCTAAGAAATTAGGTTTCCCTGAAAAATTTATAAAGTATAAAATTAGTTGATATTGCAGCAAACAAGTTATATTCTATTTAGTGGAGTTGAATGGGTAGTGGAACAATTGATGTTAAAGTTGTGTAGAATGATCTTGAAGAAAACAGCTGGCTAATATAACTAGTCGGGCTAAATTTTCTTGACCGATTTTCATATGGTATGCTTCAGACATTGCGAAGCTACCATCCAACCTATGTCATGTTAATGATACTGAGAAATGCAATGAAATTATATATTTCAGAAAAGTATATGAGAAAAGGTAGTCAGTGACTGAGTAAAGTCTTTTCGACACAAAGGTTAGCAGTGTATTATTAACTCTATATACATGTAAAATGTTAAAAGGTGTGTGTCAATGGAGTTGAAGATTGAACGATCGATTCTTGGTTGTTTGCTCAAAATCCACTTCCTTAATTTTCGCGGAGGCATCAATACGACAGTCATCGTATCATCGGTCGCTGTTCAGAAAGAAGAGTGAAACATCGTCAGAAGTAACAATGATTTATTGTAATATTAGTTTTCAGACCTTAGTTTGCTTAGTTCGTTTATTCCTTTTATATGTTGGTGTAACAATAAAGAAATAACAAGCAGCAGATCGGTGTTTTGGTTTTTGCGTCCGTTATAACTAAGCGTTTCTGAAATCTCAAAGGAACAGCGTGGGCCCGAGCGTAGCGAGAGCTGGGCATTAACGGTTTATGAGACTTTGCTGACAGTTTCTGACGATGGAAACAGATCTGGCGGATTGAAACAGTTGGTGAAAGTTTGGATAGTCGCCGTTCATTTTTCCTGGTGCCGGTCAAGTCCTCTTTGAACAAGCAATATCTGGAACTTTTTTGGAATTGGGTCAAGTTCAACAATGCCTGGGTCAAAGAAGGGACAGAGTGTCTTGGATGCAAACAGGAAAGTAAGTCATGGTGACTTGTCTGTTAATTGTAACGATGTGTATGATGTTAAGCATGACATGGTTGATGTTACTGTTTCGCCGTTCAGGGATAATAGGAACATCAAACTCCCTAAATTAGAACCACGGTGTTTTGATGGAAACCCGGCTGATTATTTACAATTTGTAAAGGAGTTTGAGATCATGCTGAGTAGTTTTCTATTAAATGATGAATTGAAGTTAATGTATTTGATGAGATATTGCACTGGAGATGCTGCAAGAGCTATACAGTGCTGTACGTTTATGAAGCCAAAAGAGGGCTACTACGAGGCTCTGAGCATATTACGTCAAAGGTTTGGAAGACCTTCGATGATTGCAGGGAAATTATTCGACGCTGTTAAGGGTAATGGTGGTCAATTACAGGATGACTCCCAGGCACTCACTGAGTTTTTAGATAATTTGCTAATTTACAAGAATGGAATGATTTCGATGAATCGAATGAGTGACCTCAACTCGAGTTTTATACTAGAAGTAATAGCAAGACGTCTACCTACTCGACTGCAAGGGAAGTTTTTTTTTATGAGCTCCCGTATGGAGGATGAGGGTATCGAGCCAAAGTTTGATGATATCCTGAAACTGGTAAATACTAGTGTCAATCAATCTATGAGCAAGTTCGCCAGTCTATTACATCTCACCCATAGAATAGAGCAGTCTGAGGGTAAAACGCACTCATTGATGACGAATAAGCTTCAGAGAGGTGGATATCGAGAAGGCTCGATGATGTCTAGTAATGCATATAGATCTAGTGAGTGTAACAGCTTTCGTAGTACATCCTCAACAGATAAGTTGCAAGATGCAAGACAAACACGGTTGTGTTGTACTCGTTTGCAAGAGGTGCATACAAAGGTGAGCTGTGAACCAGTGAGCAAGTTCAGTGATAAGCTAAATGTAAACTCCGGGCCTGACTCCGAATTGTGTGACGATAACGGTGCGGTGAAGAAGTCTGTAGTTGCAACTGGTAAGCCATTGTTGAATAGAGTGTCACAGAATAGAGTTACTGCTTCAGAGTGCAGTTCTGACTCCAAAAGTTTACAAGGTATTACTAGTCAGAGTGAAGTTATAAAACCTTTTATGATTTGCGAGGAGGAACCAAAATTGTCTACTTCTGTTATTAAAGAGTTTGAAAATGATGAAGTTGACGGTAAAGTGAATATTCGTGATAATGATCATGATACTTCACAGTTGTCTTTGGTTGATCATGATGAAATGAGGGATATGCCTACTACTGCTAAGTTAAATAAAGGTTCTGTACAACTACTGTGGTGAGAGCAGACTGCTAGCCGATTGGTTGACACTAATCTACGTTAATGTCTAGGTCACTAATATGGGCCGTGAGAAAATATGAACAAGGCTGTTTCAACAACCAATCACAGCAAACTTAAATGTGGACAAATATGATTCGCAGATAGATGGCTCTACTTTCCGAGAAATATCGAAAACAACCAATCATAAGACTGTGTTTGTCTGCTTAACTTCCGAGAAACAACCAATCAGAAGACTGCCTTTTTCTGCTTGCATAAGCCTTATTAATGCATATAAAATATATATAAATACGTGTTGATTTTCGTAATAAAACGATCTGTTGCCAGCCCTTGTCTTCTGTTGTTACATTTGGTGTCGCTGCCTCCAAAAAGATGAAGATCCCGTGGCCAGCTGCGTTTGAAGAAGGAGACATACG